TAGAAACATCAATGAGAGAGAAACATCAATCAGCTGCCTCCTGCACACCCCCTACTGGGGATGTGCCCGCAACCAAGGTATATGCCCTTGACCGGAATCGAACCTGGGACCCTCCAGTCCGCAGGCCGACACTCTATCCACTGAGCCAAACTGGTTAGGGCATTACTCTTTTTTTTTACATAAAAATATTTTTTCTTTTAGAGAGGAAGGGAGAGGGATAGAAACATCAATGATAACAATCACTGATTGGCTGCCTCCTGCACACTCCACACTGGAGATCAAGACTGCAACCCAGGCATGTGCCCTGACCGGGAATCGAACCGTGACCTCCTGGTTCACAGGTGGAGGCTCAACCACTGAGCCACGCCGGCCGGAAGCCCCTTCCTACTCTTGATCTCCATATGAAGCAACCCCACTCCCAAAAAGGCAGATTGATACGACGGATACTGAGCCTACAGCTCTGGTACTGACCTGACCCTCCAGTGTGGACCAACCCCCTAACGGGCAGCCCCTCCGAGGGGCCAGCCCAGCTTTCTTCCACAAGAGCCATTTAACGCAGAGGTCAGTCGGAAACACAGGTAGCCAGTTGGTGGTCACCAATGGGTTGCTTGGCTTGAGCGGTACGTACTTTAAAATACGGAGGCGGCATCGAGTAATCTGGACGTTGCGTGTCAAAGTCCAGCTTCTGGCTACTCCAGAGCACTTAAGCCCTGGACCCACATGGGGTCTGAGCTCACCATTTTGCCACAGGCCCCACTGCTCCCTCTTGCCTCCCTGATTCCTCGTGTCCTTGCCGGTCACGGGAGCACAGACGTATAAATCCTTTCTTTCTCTAAGCAAACGGCGGTGCAGGGGACACACCCTCTGCTCACCCAGCAATCCAGTCTAAGCAGGTGCCACACCAGTTCATGCACAGTGCCCGCGTGTGATTGCTGTTATGGCCTGGACGTGAATTTCAACTGCCTTCTCCCACTGCTGAGCAATCCACTGCAGGGACAGTCTGAGTTTCCGGGCTCCCGTCCACCCCTTCTCACCTGCAAATGGCAGCGAGGACGCGGCCAGGAAAAGAACCCCAGCGAGCGGGCCGAACGCCCCCTCCTGAACAGCATCACCTCACAGGGCACCCACTTTTCAGAATCGTTTGCACCCTCAAGCCCCAGAACCCATAGGATGCTGCCGCGATGAACAAGCCCCAACAAGCAGGCGTTTTTGAAGGTCAAGGCTGACTTAGGTCTGTCCGGGTCTCCTAGCTGCCTTCCTGGCCTCCAGCCTGCACAATGGGCCCCACGTCCTCCCTCTGTCCAGGTTGGAGGTGGAGTGACAGGGCCGGCAAAGCCTCTTGCTGAAACCTGCGTGCTTTGTTCAAGGCTCTGATGAAGCCTGGCCAAGCCGTAGGTGGACACACCAAGGGCCCAACGACCCTGGGTCACCCGAGCTTGGTGTCCACTCCCCTGCCCTGCCTGCCCCCCGACCGGGAGGACAGAGACGGGCTCCCGGCACCACGGCGGCCTCGGGGTCTAGCACGGTGCCTGCCTCCGAGGAGATACGCAACACATCTTTGTTGAATGAATGAGTGAAAAGTGCGAAGGCTGGACGAGGGCTTTTCAATCCATGTTTGGGCAAGACGCTACGGCTCTCCGACTCCAGGCTTCTTCTGAGACTGACTCAGGCACCGGCGGGAGGAATGTGACCCCGGGAGAATGCTGGCCAGGGGGCAGCCAGCCAAGGGGACACTGGACCCGAGACCGAGACGCCGGGACGTCAGTGAATGGTCCAAGGCCACACGGCCGCTGAAGGGGCGGAGGCGACCCTGAGGCCCGACCCGTGAGTCCCCGCGCCCTGGCCGGTTTCCCCGGTTATTCATAGCATTGATCCCGACGTCAGGAAATGTTTCTGCGTCTGCAGCCCCGCTCGGCCGAGCGCTCCTCCAGGACGAAGCCCAGAACCCATTCATCAGCGTGGTCCCGGGCTTGGCGCGGGGCCCGGCCCCAGGACCCGGTTCACAAATATTTGTCCACTGAATGGTAGCTGAGGGCTGGCTTCCCGGGCCTCGCGCCTTTCCTCCCGCGGGAGGGAACTGCTACCCGGCGGCGCGCCGTGACAAGGACCGCAGAAGAGACCGCATCTCCAGGGGCTCCGTGGCAGCACCTTCTAAATTCTACCCCACGCAGGCCCTTTGACCCAGTCATTCCTCTTCTGGGAAAGTTACTTTACAGAAATAACCGGACAGGGACACCAAAAGGTATGACCGAGGATGTCTGTGACGGCAATACCATGGAATCAGCCATGTCCACCCTCGCAGGCTGGTCACACACACCGTGGGTCACCCAGCTCATGCAATCTGACACGGCTGGAGAGAAGAGCCTGGTGGCCTACTATGTGCTGGGACGAAGGTGTCCGGGACAAATCAGCTGGGAGAAAGGCGGGAAGATGGTGTGCACAGCGTGCGCCCGCCTGTGCTGAAAACAAAGACATACGCACATCAACGCCTCGCTATACTTTCAAAAAAATTCTAGAAGGATACACGCGGATAGTAAACCTACTGCCCCGGGAGAGACTGGAGAGACGGAGAAGAGGTTGGAGCTGTCCGCTGGGGGCAGGAAGGGCGCAGGCCTGCCGTGAAGTTTCTGGCCCAGGTTCATAAAACAGCTGAGCAGGGAGAGGAGCAGGGAGAGCAAGCCCCTTTCCTCTCATGTCCCCGAGTATCCTTTCCGTGGGGATCGGGCACAAAGCACCACAGCTCCCGCGGTCACAGACCCGCATGGGCCGCGGGCTCCAGAGGATGGCCATCCGTGCACCGAGGACTTAGCAAGCCCCCCACACGTGACAGGCGTGATGTCCTTTCACCCCCAGATCAGGAAACAGAGACTCAGAGAGGTGAAGTGACCAGCCCAAGGTCACCCAGCTGCTAATGGGGAGGATGAACGCAGTTCTGCCGGACCCAGAGCCTGTCCCCCTCCCCAGGGGCGTGGGGACGGCATCCTCAGCTTCCCTGAGCCGAGCTGGAGGGAGGGAGAGCTGGGCGGGGCCAGCCAGGGTGGGGGTCCCTGAGGTCATCCCTCACCTGACAACGGCCTGCCCTGGGAGGCCACGGTGGACTCCAAGCTGAGGGTCTGACCCCAGGGGACAGTCCCTGGGGAAGGTCCCTCTCCTACACCAAGCACTGGAGAGGCCACGGGTGGGGTGGGGGAGGGGGAGGAAGGCAGAGAGGCCCACCGAGTCCCAGGCCAGTCCGGCTCTACCTTCAGCGAGCTGTGAAACATCAGGCGAGCCAGCTGACCTCTCTGAGCCCTTTTTCTCCTCCGGAAAATGAGGCTCCATCATTCCTGCCTGCATAGCACTTCTGGCGTGTTTTTATTTTTTATTGTGGAGTAATACTAGATACAAAGATGGCACAGGAAGTTCCCACACGCCCTCTCCCAGCTTCCCCGTATGTTAGCTAACATCTGGCAGGTTTGTCAAAAGGGCTTAGCTGCCATTGTCCAATACGATTACCGAATAAGCTATTGTCTTATCCAGAGCCCGTTTCCCACGGTGACCTGCTCCTGTTCCGGGAACCCACCCAGGCCCCACCTTACACGCAGTTGTCACAGGCCTGTCTCAAATCTGCGACAGCTCTTCAGACTGGCCTGCTTGCTTGTCAGGCGTCCTGTAAGACGGCCCCCAATCTGGAGCTGCCTGATGCTTTCTCACAATTACACTGGCTTGTGGTTTGGGGGGAAGATTGTCCCATGGCGAGGTGGGGGGAAGGCTGTGACATCCACATGACATCTCACTGGTGTATCCACAGTAAAGTAACTATTTCCTTTCCATTCTCATCTCTCTCTCCCTCTCTCTCTCTCTCTCTAAAATATATTTTTATTGATTTCAGAGAGGAAGAGAGAGAAACACCGATGATGAGAAAGAATCATTGATCGGCTGCCTCCTGCACACCCACAGTGGGGATGGAGCCCGCAACCCAGGCATGTGCCCTGACCGGGAACTGAACCGTGACCTCCTGGGTCATAGGTCGACCCTCAACCACTGAGCCACGCCGGGTGCGCCCGTTCTCATTTCTTCACGAGCGAGGCACTCAGCCCAGCCCGCTCTCCACAGGAAGAGAATCGCGCTCCGACTCCTGGGCGGGGACGTATTCCTATAGCATCTGCAATTCCTCTGTGAGGAGAGTCACCCCTTCCCCCCATCGGTATGGACTCCTGGACCTTTTCCTGGGGCGACGAGCCGATAATCCCATCGCTTATTTTGTCACTCGCACTGCCCAGCCTGGGTCTCCGGTCTCTCTCTCCCAGGCTGGCGTCCGGCCGACACGCCCCAGCCTTTGCTTCTTCTCCGGCTGCTCTTTGCTTCCTGGCGCACGAGGCGTGCCAGGTTTCTTCTGTACCCTTCCCGCCCGCTCCTGACGTCAGCCGCCTCTCCAGGGAGCCCTGCGTCCTTTTATTGACGAATGACATTTAGAACCCAACATCTGGGTGAGATTTTTATTATTTCTTTCAATGGTTAAAACCACGTCAAAAATGCAACGAGTTTAAAAGGCCTGGAGAGAAAAGGAAGGCTCTTCCGGACCCCTGAGCCCCCGTGTCATCTCCCAGGGCAGCGACTAGGAATGATTTCTGGTGTCCCCTTCCGGAAACAGGTGCCGGCATGCCTCACAGGTTAGGGTGAGGACAGAGATGGGACGAGGAGCTATATGAAGGGCCTGGCGAGATGCCCGTCATTTCTTCTCACCTCCATCTCTCTGATCCTCTGGCCAAGCAGTTCTGCACGGGGAGTGGGCACAAGA